AGACTCTGTCTCACAAAAAAAAAAAAAAAAAAAAAAAAAAAAAAGGATTTTGCCCATGACATAGAGCTAGAAGATAAAGTCGGGTCAGAGTCAGCCCACGTGTGGAGGCTTACAAGAGGCGTAAAGGTTGAGAATAATGAGAAGGGAGATGACAGGTAAATACCGGCCGGAGTGACCCTGGGGGCTCTATAAAATGAGCAGACTAGCTCGGCGGGAGGATGAACGGGGTATTTGGAGACAGCGCTGCCATAAAAAGGTCCATTCACTGGGAAGATATAAACTTATAAAGTTTTATGTACCTAATAAAATGAACTCAAAACATCCCTATAGAAAGCACAGACCTTAGACATTTCAGAGGAATTGGGAAGATTCATAATGAAAAAGTTGTCAATGAAAATTACACATTGGAACTGGCAGCATAGAATCAAGGCAGAATTTAGAGGTAAATTTAGGAGATAAGAACGGAGATAATAAGCAGAAATCGGTGAAATAGAAAATGAAGATGCGAGAGAAAATAAGTCCCTAATTCATTTTGAAAGACAAATCTAAGACAAAGACTCAAAGCACGTATCAGCAGTGCTGGGGGTGCGAAGAGAAGGCAGTACTTTGAACGGTGTTATGCTAGTACACCTGAGATGTAAAATATGACTCTTGTCAAGACTGACTTAAGGGCTGAGTGTGGTGGCTCATGCCTGTAATCCCAGCAGGATACCTTTGGGAGGCTGAGACGGGCAGATCACTTGAGGTCAGGAGTTTGAGACCAGCCTGGCCAACATGGTAAAACCCCATCTCTACTAAAAACACAAAACTTGGCTGGGCATGGTGGCAGGCACCTGTAATCCCAGCTACTCAGGAGGCCGAGGCAGGAGAATCGCTTGAACCTGGGAGGCGGAGGTTGCAGGGAGCTGAGATTGCACCGTTGCGCTCCAGCCTGGGCAACCGAATGAGACCCTGTCTCAAAAAAAAAAAAAAAAAAAAAAATAGAAACAGGAGCCAGGCAGCAGGTGGACGGCGGGCGGAGGGGTAGAGCAGTCTGATGAGTGCACAGCCTGGGAGCCGAGTGGGGACCCAGAACCAAAGCCAGGGCACTGGGCATGGGCAGAAAGGAGGCACGGGGCCAGCCGGGAAGGAGGGGTTGGGGACCTTTGACGATTCCAGAAGGGGGAGTGAGTAGATGAAGACATCACCTGTTGAGAGGCAAGGTCTGGGTGAGATGGGACACCTGTGGGGCCGAGGAAGTCGTGCAGCGTGAGCCGGGGAGGCCACCTCCAACTCGGGGGTGGAGAGGGTGTCCGTAGCAGTGGACAGGCCCTGGGGACAGAAGTGGAATAGAAAGACCAAGCTGGAACCTTCCGGCGAGCTGCTCAGGGCCACGCGCCGACCTGGGCTGCTCCTCCTGTTTTGCGGCAAGCAGTGGGACCTCTCCAGACCCCCCTCAGCTCAAGAGAGAAGTGGGCACCCCCTGACACCCACAGTTCACCCTTGAGAAGGAGCCACGGCTTCCCAGCAGTGGGAGGTGGAGCACCGGGCCTGACCCACCACAGATGAGCCCCAACGTGTGTTTGGACCAGCCAGGGTCAGCCCTCCCCGCTGCTCCCAGGTGCTCCCTGAGGCCGAGGCCCTGGGCTGGCGGGGGCTCCGTGTGTGGGGTCTACATGGCAGTCACTGCTGCTGCTACCATGGAGGGGTTTCTTCACACCCACAGCGAGGCGCGTCCCCGTAATGGGCATGTTCTCATCAGCGCACTGGACGGGGAGGCGCTTTTGAGTGGTGTGAATGGGGGAGAGTGAGGCGAAGGCCACTCCCTGCAGCTCAACCCCACGAGCAGAGCCGAGGCGGCCCTGGGTCCCAGCGTGACTCCTCCCCGGGAGCGAGCGCTGTCCCGGCAGCCACGCACGGCTGAGCAGAAGGAAAGGGCGCCCTGGCGGCATTCTAGGGACCTGGCAGCGTGCCTGGGCTTTACGGGGTTTTTGTAACCCACAATCCTGTCTCTGGGCGAGGTTTTCCATCTCTCAGAGCACTGAAAGGCTGAAATGATTTATTATGCATCGCTTTTGTCTTTGTTCTGTTTCTGGAAAAGGTGGTGTGTCGGTGACGGAAGCGGGCACAGTCCTCGCACTTTCTGTTTTCGAAAGGTGGTTTTGTGGGCTTACTTTTCACGGTTTTTTTTCCTCCCATGTGCTGCTTCATCTGATACTCGATACTTTTCATGTTATTTAAAACAGCCAACCAGCCTTCTCGCCGCCTGCCTTTTCCCAAGCCGGCTGATTTCCACGCAGGAAACCGGGGTGTTTGGCGTGGGGTTCACCAGCCACACGCTCGCGCCTCGTTTCCTGACCAAGTCCGTGGTCCGAGGCAAAGGGCCCCCTGCGTTCTCTGCGTTGGTTCCTGCTCTGTTCCACGTCTGACAGATGCGGTGCTGACTTGGGGCCCTGCCCACCTCAGGGGCGTTGTTTTTGGAGGGTGACTGGCCCCTCGAGACTGATGCGGGAGCAGGGCCGCCCGCACTGTGTCAACCTCCCTTGGGGTGGACCCGGTGCCTGAGCACAGTGGCCTCCAGCCTGGGGCTGAGGCGGGGGCCCTTCTCCTCATCCTAACCTTTTGTGTCTTTTAAAGGGTAGTTCCCTGGGATCCCTGGTGGGGTGGACTGATAGATGGCTGCTGAGGATTAGACACTGTGTCCAGAGCAGGCCAGCTGTGGGTGGGGTCAGGGCAGGAGCCTCCAAATGCTCCCATCTCCTCCCCCCGATCTCACCCTTGGCTGATTCAGCCTCCTGGGACCCAGAGGAGAGCCTGCCACCCTCTCCCAGCTGGCAACAGCCTTGGGGGCACTGGCCAGGCAGCCCCTCCCAGAGTCCTGGGTGTGAAGCTGCCCCAGGCCACGTGTCAGGTGCAGTTCCCGAGCTCAGGCTTGTGTTCATGGCCTGGAGGCTGGTCTGCCCCTGTCATTCTCATGCCGGTCAGCGAGCGCCCCTGATCTGCCCGTTCCCTGCGTAGTTCCTGTGCACCGTGGTCGCCATCCTCCTCCACTTCATCTACATGAGCACCTTCGCCTGGACCCTGGTGGAGAGCCTGCACGTGTACCGCGTGCTGACCGAGGTGCGCAACATCGACGCGGGGCCCATGCGGTTCTACTATGTCGTGGGCTGGGGCCTCCCAGCCATCGTCACAGGTGAGGACTCACAGAGCAGCCCTGCTGAAAATACAGATTTCCAACAGACCCCTGCTCAGCAGGGGATCCACGTCGTTGCCATGGAGACCCGCCCTTTCTCTTCTCTTCCCTGCCCAGCCCCCAGCAGAGGAGGCCCTGGCCCTGCACGCTGGTCTGCATGCACGGGTGCAATGGCAGATACCTGGGGAGATGTCTTCTGTAAGATGTGAGCCCCTTGAGAGCTGGGTCCAGGTGTCTTCAGGGGTATTTCTGCAGCACCTAACAGACGAAAGTCCCACGTCTACACATAGGAGGGATGGAGGGAAGAGCGAGTGAGTGCGTTGGTGGGTGTATGGATGGATGTAGGGGTGAGTGACTAGATGGATGGGTGAGTGGATGGGTGGGTGGATGGATGGATAGATGGGTAGGGATGAGTGAGTGGATGGCTGGGGGGGGTGAGTGATGGATGGATAGATGGATAGAGCGAGTGAGTGGATGGATGGATGGATGGGTGGGGAGTGAGTGGATGGGTGGGTGGGTGGATGGAGGGGTGAGTGGATGGGTGGGTGGGTGGAGGGGTGAGTGGATGGGTAGGTGGGTGGGTGGAGGGGTGAGTGGATGGGTGGGTGGAGGGATGGGAAAGTGAGTGGATGGGTGGGTAATGGATATAGGGATGGAGATGAGTGATGGATGGGCGAATGGATGGATGAATGGGTGGATGGATAGGATGACTGAGTGGATGAGTAGCTGGAGGGATGAGAGTTGATTATAGATGGATAGATGGATGAAATGGGTAGGTGGATGGTAGCTAGGTGGACGAGATGGTGAGTGGACGGGTGGATGAGTGAGTGAGTGAATGAGTGAATCAATGAGTAGAACAACAAACTTTGTATTTCAGCATGCTTTTTGCTAAAAATTAGAAAGTCGAAGTTTGCTCCCTACTGAGAAAGATCCACCTTTATTCACAAAAGGAGGAACTGAAGCTCTTTTCCTGGGTAATCCCTGGGTTCTGGGAATTGGACACAAAGTCTGAGGCCAGAGGCACTGGAGTAGGGGCAGTTACCCCCAGGGCAGCATCCAGCAGCCACTCTGGGGCCAGTGCCATCATGGTCACTTGTTGGGCCGTCCCGGTCTCCACAGCGACGCTGCTGACCAGCCTCCAACCACACAGGCCCCTGGCCAGGGTGTTCTGATGCGACTCATCTCCCCCTGCTCTAAGGGACGCTGAGGAACCTTTTTCACCTCCACCCAGGGCCGCTGAAGTGAGGGCAGGTTGGGCAGGGTGGCAGCTGTCACTTTGTGATGTGACAGGCGACGCTGTGCCTAGTTTAGGGCTTACTCTGAGAGACACTGAGATGAAGAGGGCGGCTTAGAAGGCGCTTGCATGGCTTTGTGTAAAAGCCACCTGGACGCCCAGACGGAGGACGTCTCCGCGATGCCTCTGCCCTTTGGAGGTGGATCCAGATAGCTCACGTTTCCAGCTTGCCTTAAAAACTGGTTTTGTTTTTTGTTTTGTTTTGTTTAACATTTAGGTCTCTCACACAAGATCTTAAAATAATTCCCTGGGAGCCTCAGACTGAGCTGCAGACACTGGCCAGTAGCTGTGGCCTGGGGCTTCCTGACTGTCCTCGGTCCTGGGTAACCGGCTCTTTCAGAGGGAGTGGGACGTGCCGGAGGAGTTAGGCAGCAGGGGGCTGGGATCTTCTCACTGTCTAAGTGAGGAGAATGGGCAAGAGCACAGGCTAGGCCAGGGTGGGGGAGGGGCACAGAGAGACTGAGTCACACATGCTGGTCACTCCTGCCCGCCACCTGGATCTCCCCATGGATGGGCAGCCTGGACCTGGCTTGTCACATGGTGGTTAGGAGCGACGGCTGCTCTTCACATGTTTCTTCCCTTGTGTAAACAAGCAGCCCCTGTAGCAGGCTCGGTGGCGAGGCGGTTTTGGGAGTGTGTGTATGGTGTGCACGTGTGTATGGTGTATGCCTCTGGTTGTGTTATGTACACTTGTGATGCCTGTCTGTGCACGTGTGTGTACATGCCTGCATGCATGTGTATAGGGTATGTATATGGGTATGACGTGTGCACGTGGTTGTATGTGGTATGGGGGGCTGTGGCATCCCCCCCACACTCAAATACGGCCCCGGAGGTGGCGCTGTCCTTCACCTGTCTCAGGGCCTCATCCCTTGCACCGTCACGGCCTCCTGACCTCCACATGGCCCAGCTGGAGGGTTCTCCCAAGCAGCACCTGCCTTCACGGTCCCTCCCGCAGCAACTCACTGCCACCTTCCAGGTTCTGTGGCCTTCCTCAGCAGCCCCTGGCCCAGGCAGGCCCCATCCCTCATGGGGCCAATCCAGGAGCAGCTTCTGCCACCCAGGCCAGGGCACGGCGAGCCTGAGACCCCACACAGAGACACGGTGCTCAGAGGGGCCCGAGACTCCCTCCTCAGGCTCCCCGCTCTTCCCTCTGAGAAGGGAGATGCTGGGTCCCCCATTTCACCCCACCCTGGCTGGCCCTTGGCAGGGGGTGGCCGCTGGGCACGTGGCCTTCACCCTTCCCTGCCTCCCGCTGTGTTCAGGACTGGCGGTCGGCCTGGACCCCCAGGGCTACGGAAACCCTGACTTCTGCTGGCTGTCCCTTCAAGACACCCTGATCTGGAGCTTTGCGGGGCCCGTTGGAGCTGTTATGATTGTGAGTGTGGGGCCTTCACGGGAGTCCGGGTGCCCCAAGGATGTATCAGCTGGAAGGGGTGTCCTGGGCTGGCTGGGGCCACCAACTCCTCTGAGCAGCCAAGGTGGGGCAGGAAGGGCCATCTGTGACAGATCCCTCCCACGGGGGCCGCCAGGCCCCTCCCGGACCTCACCCTCTGATCATGGATTTGGGTCTTACATCGTGTCCATGTGAGACTGTCTGTGCCCAGCACCCAGGAGGGTCCCGCACAGGCAGACTGGGTGTGGACAGGCGCGCTTCACCCTGCAGGCCAGGGATCAGGGCCCCCTCACCCAGCCACCCCTCCCTGAGATGCAGGGGGTGGGGAGCTGGGTAAGGGCCTCAGGGGCTTTTGGCAGTTGGAGGGCTGTGGTGACAAGACAGAAGAGTTGGCCACCTGACATTGATCGACTTACCTTGTTTTCAGATCAATACAGTCATTTTTGTCCTATCTGCAAAGGTTTCCTGCCAAAGAAAGCATTATTATGAAAAAAAGGGGATCGTGTAAGTGGGGCTGAACGTGACCGGCGAGTGGGACCTGGTGTGGGGCTCATCCCACCCAGCCACGTTGGCTGGACCCTGAGACCCCCATGTCCCGTCTGTGTGCTGGGGCGGTGGGGCACAAGAACACGTGGGCCTCGAGGTGGAGGGCTGGGGGCAGCCTGGGGAAGTCCCGGCTTGAGAGAGGTTCCCACATTGCATCTACAGGGGCAGGGGAGGTTAGCCGAGGGGAGGGGGCCGGGGGAGGTTAGCCGAGGGGTGGGGACGGGGGAGGTTAGCCAAGGGGAGGGGGCCGAGGGAGGTT